GATACTGGGTACAGGATACTGGGTACAGGATACTGGGTACAGGATACTGGGTACAGGATACTGGGAATAGGATACTGGGTACAGGATACTGGAACATCTTCTTGAATAAGCAATCAAATAAGTACTTATGGAACATATTCTCAAATAAACACTTCTTGGACATATCTCGAAAATTATGAATGAATTTTGATTGTCAATTGAAACATTAATCAATCTAATATTATTTAGAATGCAGAAAATAAGTTAAACTAACTTCATTTTGACGAGAATTTTCATTTTTTTTCATGAAAAATTTGCTGAAATGAGTGAAAATTTAAAAAAAACGGTGTATTTTCCAGGATAAAATCCGTACAATTTGAAAACAAATCCGTACAATCCGTACAATCCGTACAATTTTAGGGTTTAAAAAAAAATCAATCCGTAAAATCCGTACATTTTGGCCACCCTGTATATAGCAAAACCATGATTAGAAAAAATCAGTTTTAAAAATTATAAACATGAATATCTAATTCAGACAACGGCATCGCCAGCTTTGCATGGAGGGTCACTTGAAATAACGCTTCCAGTCCCTTTAACAATTGACAAAGAGTATTTTTTATGAATTTTATCAATTTTGAAGTTACAACACAAGTAAACAACATTTTGGAGTGCCTGAGACAAGGAGTTCTAGGTGTTAATTGGAATATTGCTAAAATTTTATAACGAAATAAAGCCACGTCTTACAAAGACTACATAGAGGTCGTTCCTAAATTCCCGTGTTTATTGGGACACCCTGTACCGCACAAGAATAAAGAACATGGGCTTATGCATTAAACTTAAAATTTGTTTTTCGTTCTTTGCCAAATCAATTAAAGTATTAATTATTGGGCAACAATTAATACAAGAACCTTCTGATAGTTTTATTTTAATATTTTTAGGTCGTCATTAAAGTTTCATGATTCTTGGGTAGCCCTGTTTATATTATACTAGCTGAAGGGCCCGGCGTTGCCTGTGGTAACAAAATTTGATTTTTTAGCCTAAACACCCCTCGGCCACTCCTAAGTGTCAACAAAAAATTTCAGCCCATTCGGTCCAGCCGTTTGGCCGGCTATAGGCAACATGTATATATACGTACGAACGTCTTGTTTTGTTATATAGATATATTGGGGAATACAACGAGTTAACACTTTGACTGAACTGACTGAACTGAACTCGAATCTATTTCTTAAGTGAACCGGAAGCAAAAATTATATTTACAAATTTTCCACTTGACGGAATGGGGGGGGGACATGAGGGTGTGTACTTTGAAAGTGTTAAGAGGGTAAAAATTAGAATTGACGGTGAGAGGAGAACTATATTATTAGATCTGATTGCAGAAAGGATCTTGCTAATATATAAGAAGCTGGGGTTATAGGACTGGGCAACGTTGGCCTTTAACGAACGGTAGGTTTTAAACATTAAAGGAAAATCCGTTAATTTATAAAAAAGTTTGTTAAATTTACCATTACCACAATAGAAAAATGGAGATCGTTAACGAACGGCAGTTTCACATTTACGAACGAAAAAAAACATTAAATGAACTACAAGTTTGGTTAACTTAGTTAAAAACGAACGGCTATTGAACGAGCTTGTCCGTTCGTTAATTTTTCTAACGAACGGATTGAAAAAGGTTGGAACGAGCCCTGTTAGGAGGAACCCAAACATTTTGTTCGTAATATCTGACAATAGAAAGCATTTCGATAATACGATCATTATTTTTTAATTTAAAAAAAATAGATATTCCAAACACTCTGTTATTTTTGTCAAAAAAAATGAGTGTAAATGATTTAAATTATCGGGGATGTGAATAATTCTTCAAAATGAGAACGATTATGAAGCAAATTCGAAGAAATTATTCTTGGAAATGCAATTTAAATCTATAAAAAATATGTTTAACCCAAATACGTGACGGGGCTTTAATCATATTTTCCAATAAAATTTAGCCTTAATATTCTATAAAATGAACAAATATAAACATAATGATACACAAAATAAGTATATTATAAAATTAATTCAAAATTTAAATAAAAGATTAAAATTTGTTTAGTTCTCTAGGATGAGAACTTTAATGAGGATATAAAACTCCAAAACTATAACATTTTGAGGATTATGATCTTATGATTTTGTCTAAAACATTGTCTTTAAGTGGCTGCAGGAAATAAAAAATGTATAATGTAAAAACTCCCAATATCCTCTGTTGGCCGCCTTTGAAGTCTTATCCTTTTTGGGTAACCCTTACCTCTTTCATTCAAACTATGATTCTGTTAACGCCGATATTTACAGGATGTCCCACGAAACATGACAGTTGGTGAATAGTTTTAATTGTCTTTCTTTGCTACCAACGAGAACAATTTAAGATACAAACTGCAATAAGTGTTAAATACCTAATTTAGTATAAGGAAGAAGATATTCAAAACAATTCATGCCAACTGCCTGTTTCGTGGGACACCCTGTAATTGCCGCCCATCTCTCCTTTTTTACTCCACTTGCACGTGGGTATAAGGATATAAATCATTTTACTGGCTCACTGCTGCAGTACGGTTACATTGCACTCTTTCAGTGATTTATAGAATTTAAAAATTCCAACTTTTTTAATACGTTTTACATGATAAATTTTTTTAGTCCAAACTTTGACAAATAAATGACCATTAATAGATAAAGATCCAAACAAAAGTACACTACGATTTTTAAAGCTAATGAAACTGAAAACGGAAATTGTGGGGTTTAAAGGCTTGGAATCTTTACAGGAGCGTCCCATTTATTAGATTGTCTCCAGACTTATAACGCCAAACCACGCGAATACTCGAAAACCTAGTTTTATCTGCATGCAAATCTTTATATTAGCAAAATGCAATTTTTTTAATGATTCTTTCCTTTTAAATTTTCTGATTAGTCCCTCAAATCGCAATTTATAGCTTTAACACGATCCAATATATATAAGGTAGTAATCTCTGTTTATCTGTCCTATTGTGAACCATTAAGGATTTACAAATGTAAATAGTACAGTACAGTTAAACTCCCAAACAAGATATTTTGTAGCCTGACAACCCAACCTAACCCAAGCGCCCAAGGGTATTGAACCCTTAATATCTTTGCAACCTGAAGAAGAGTCTGATGGAAATATATTCACCGTAGGCGAATGTTGTATATATAGATCCAATTTCTTAGTTGATCCACAGTTTGTATAGTTAACATGTAAATATAGTTTTGTGTGCAAAAATATTTCGCTGTTCCACCCAATCTTGGCTTTTGACTTTCAGTCTTTTCTCAAGTCTTTACTATCATGACTCAGAAACCACTGCACCTATTTGCCTCAAATTATGATTAGGAAACTCAGTAGAACCATGGAAATATTCTTAGCTTGGATAGAAGGTTCTGAGGCAAAGCTGTGTTTACAAGGTACAATAACAACTAGAAAACTCCGAAATAGGAAGACACTACTTTGTAGAAATACTTCTTAATGTATTTGATGTTGTTACAAAACAAACAGTTTTACTAGACACTAAGTAAAATGGGTCTGTTTAAACTGAACACTTTCTGTGTCCCATTCTTATTAGACCCTTAAAAGTCATAATTTAAGCCTAAAAGTCTTCTTCCTATTCCAGAGTTTTCTGGTCATCACTGCATACAATATATTTCAATTAGACAAGATTTAGTTTGTGCTTAAATTAATAGCTGCAGTTTTACTTATTTTTATCCAGAATCTTAGTTAACATTCAAATTTGTTTTTCATATTTCATAAATCTAGTTTTCAATGCAAACTGGGAATTTAAGCTGCAACTAAAAGCAATTACTGACCTCCTTCCTGACAACTTTATGATTTCTAGAGAGTACGACGGGCACAACAGTTTCCTCATTTTTTCCTAATAGAATTCAAAACAAAAAACATAATTAAAACATCAACAAAATCTCAAATTTAAGCTTTATTTTTACATCTGACAAAATTTATTTAAATTTCTTTGATTTTCATACATTTGTGACAAAAACCTTTTTTATACTTTAGCAGTTGTAATATATGTTTTTGTTTATCTACAGTGATAGGCGATTATAACAAAAAATGAAGACGACTTTGTTATTTAAATTTTGATTGTTAACAAGCAAATTTTCGTATTATATACGTAATCAAAAAGAAGCTTTGTTACTTGTAAGCTTCTCTTGACTTTTAAGTTTATGTGTATCCATACTGTTTAACAATTTGATTTAAATAAAAAATCAAAATCGAAAGTCGTCTTCATTGTATTTGTGAAATCGCCTACCACTGTATAAATGCTTGAACTGATTGCTAAGACAAAAAAACATAACTTGAAGGGACTGTCAACTTAATTTCAAGTAATCTTTCATTTCCATTTCTAATGCATTCTTGATTGATAAAGCTTATATAAGGGCATCCTTGTGAATCGGACATGCCACTTTAAACTAGAAATATTTCCGCCTAGACGTAAACAGTATCTAAGCATCGTATAGAACTCTTGTTTCAGTTAAGTGTAGCAATTAATTGCGAAACTACATTAAATGTGTGAAGTGTCAATTAATCAATTTTCATACTGCTTATCATTTTTCACAACAAAAATATTGTCGATACATTATGAAATGCTGAAAACAATTGGAACACAAATATTTTAAGATTATACAGTGAACACCAACTCTTGAATAGGAAGACGACATTGTTGCAATAATTAAATGTATTTGATGTACAGGGTGTCCCACGAAACATGACAGTATGCAAGACGACTTAAATATCGTCTTGATTTTTTATATAATTTGCTGCATTTATTTGTCAACCTAATTTTAGAAGTAAATTTCTATTGATAATAATCACAAAATTCCCCTAGTCCTGCCATTTCCAAAATGTGGTCTGCATTTTTTGTGCTTTCAAAATTGCCCGAGATATGAAAAATTTCGTTCAGATTTCGACAATTTTGCTTTTATTCAACAAAATTGAAATCTGAACCAAACTCTTTATATCTCCGGTAATATTGAAAGCACAAAAAACGCAGACCACTTTTTGGAAATGCCAGGGCTAGGAGAATTATGTGATAATTGTTTCAAGAATCATACATGTTAAAGTAAATAGAAGACTAAATGTCACAAATAAATTCAAATATCAAAGACGACTTTCAAGTCGTCTTACTATTGTCATGTTTCGTGGAACACCCTGTAGTTACCAAGCAAATGGCTTCACTAGTAACTGATTAAATCACTTATTAAGCAAAATGGGCCTGTTTTCTCTGCACATTTGCTGTGTCTTGTGTTCCTTGGATTATATCAAGAAAAACTTTTGAGTATACAAAAAAACCTTTCTCTAATCAAAACTGTGGTCGGTATCATCGTTGCCATAGCTTACAAAATGTTTAATTCTGACAATTTTCCTTTATAAATCCCATAGCAGGAATCCACATGTCACATTTATAGTAGAGAAACCACACTTTATTCTTCACCACATAACGATTTTATTAGTTCCGTTGTGAATCTGACATGCCTTTTTGTCCCTTGAAATTACGTCCTCAGTCCCTTTAAAAATAATTCTTCTCCACTTTTATCTCTAGGTTGATTTCTTGGTTTAATCTGCTCTTCTCCGTTTTCCCTTCGTCGGAGTCACCCTCCGAGTCGGAACCCCTCTTCCGTTTCAATACATTCTAAAAGTACAAAAGTTCATCAATTCTTTTTTCAACAAAATACCCCAATTCCCTGTTCAGTCATGGCCCATTATCCGCTTGAAATCCTTCTCTAAAAAGAAGACATTATCCATGTGTTTCTATTATACAGAATAATCCCATCCGCTCGTAACTGACCATGGACCACCTTTTCCGTTTAAAGACCTTCTAATAAAAGTTTTTAAAAAAACAATCGTCGTAACCCCCCCCCCCCC